CAACAATCAACGCTTTCCTGGAAACGAACTGATCCCCAATTGATCAAGCCAAAACAGGCTTTTGGTATAATTTGCGAGTCTAGTGGAAAACTTAAGAAAAGGAGATACTGATCAAGACTGTCCAAACAAAGCAGAGACGAGTCAATCCAAACCAAACAAAAGAAAAGAAAATCAGTCGATAGACTTGAAGAGAGAGAATGAAATACCTAGGCACTACGGTCTACTCACACCGAAAGTCAGAGAGCATCAAAGACGACGGAACGATCGTCGTTGACTCGACGCTCACCTTAATTGTCATACTCTCGCTGTTCTCGCTCGGATTTTGCATCGGGTTTCACCGAATCATGACCTCCAACCCGCAATGCATAGGATAACCATCCACGTGAAATAATTCTGGGGATTACAGCACAGCAAGAAATAACACTACGAGGAGTATTCGCACACAACAACAACAACAACAACAACAACAACAACAACAACAACAGTCACTTGAAGCAGCCCATTAGATTTTTGAAGAACAGCAACAACGCAGTAGCAAATGCAATAATATGTCAAATCTGAAGTCGAGAAACTTTGAGTAGCTTCTGGAAACTCGGACGATACACCATTGAAATTAAAGAATCAGACCGAGGAAATCAAAGCGCCAGTTGATAGTCACATCGATAGGACATGATATTGTTGTGATTCTGTAATTGTCGTACGAGCAATCAAAGGGTCCACAATTTAGAAATGGGGAGAGAAAAGTTGTTGTAGGGCGCTGTGTGTGTTCTCTATGAAGTTGATATAGTAAGTTAGTATGAAAATCGTGCCAAGCACCTACACCTCAAAGAGCGACATAAACTCTTCCTCGATGTTCCTCGAAACAAAGTGCAAAGTTTTCTATTGACGCTTCGTAGAATTAACAGTTTTTTGTAAAGACTCGAGTCATAGAAGAAGCCAAGAAAATGAGCAGACGTTTTCTGAATTTCGTCGCGTTTTTCTCCTGCATCCCAATGCCTATCGCCTGCCTGCTTGTTGCTGTTTGAAAATGCTTTGCTTCTGGTAGCTTAGAAGCTGTTTCATCATTCCCTTTAGATCCTTACGATACGTGTCGCGCTGTCCTGGAGGAACGCTCATTCGATATTGCAACTCCTCGGTTGTGAGGCTCTCCGACAATTCCAGCAGGGTACCAAGCACAGTGCTGATGTGGTTCGGAGCGATCTTGTCGGGACGCATGGTTAGATAATACCACTCTCCCGACAGCGGATCGAACCCAACCTCGGCAATGTGGATCTTCGACTTCACTTCCATTTTGTCGGCTTCGAGACGGTATCGTTCGCTGGCCGGCAATTTCACGTACCGGGACATGTCTACAGAAGTGTTGTCGGGCCCTCCCACTCCTGTGTTCAGAGGATCGTCGTCCTCCTCGACTCCACCTCGGGGCCTGTACCCACCCTCGAGCAAGAGTTGGACATCGATGGTGCAAGTATCTAGGTATTTCCACTTCAACAAATTCACATCTGTCCCGCACTTGTACGGAAGATTAGGCTGAATCGAAACGAAACAAGAAGGAAAAAAATTTAAAATAATGATGCATGAAGTCAGGCAAAGCATTGAAAAGTCACAAAAATGAATGAGAAAATTCAGATCCATTCGAGGAGAACGTATCAAAGAATCTTCCATCGCGTTCAAAACAGCAGACAGAAAACGAATAATTTGCACACCCAAAATCATTGTAGGTTCTCTTTTTTTTCTTACCTGAAAGATGATCCCATCGGTCAAGTGATTGTGGATAGGCAGTCGTCGATATGATCGAAATCCCTTTTCTTCTATCACATTGTTCAAGAGCTCCGCAATGTCCGTCCGCTGGACAAAGTTTTTCCGCACCAGCGGCAAGGGAATGCTCAAATCGGCAATCGCCGAATCGGCAAACATGTCGCGGTTCGCTGTTGGTGTTCGGAAAGTGGCTCTCTTTAGGTGCTCGAGTCTCTTTTCAAAAGGTAGATGCATAACGACCGCGCTCGGTCCGATAGTCAAGACATCGAAGACAATGAACAACGGCCTCGGGCCGTGTTTTTTGCCATTTCCCCGGTGCATCACAACTTCGCCATCAAATACGGTGCCGGCTTTGATCAACGGAATCACAGAGGCCATCGGTTCTGCGCTCTTTTCTTGTTGGTGTTTCGCGATTGGTATGCATTGTTTCCCCCTCATGGCGCGATCGACCAGTACTACGGTCTCGCCCGTAAATATCATGAAATGACGAACACCATCAGTTTTTTCGCTCAAAAAGTATTTGCTCCCCCGCTGAACGTCCTCGATGTTGTGTCGGGAAAAACCAATGGGCATACAGCCACAAAACTTGGTATTTGCCAACGAAGGAGGTGGAATTGTCCCTGGATTTGCCAGGGGAAGACTCCCGACTTCAATGGGTTGCCCGTGGGCGTGAGATGGACGACCGTCCATAAACTTTTTGAGGGCCCCACAGGTTGCCAGTGCCAATTGAACAGCCTTCTTGTCGGGATGGTCGATCAGGTATTCTTCAACATCCACAGTTTCTTCCAATGGATTGAGATGTGAGAGGATCCACCATAGCTGTTGTGATAATTTGTGTGTCTCCGTTCGTATCTGGTCCTTATCTTCCATGTTGATGAGGTTCAACAAGACATCTGCCTGCAATTCCATTTCGATTTCATACACGACCGTTTTCTTCGATAGATCGTGCCTCGGCGTCGATGTGACCTCGGTGACWTCAAYCTGCCATCCCATGTTCTTGTCTTTTCGTTTGTAGGATCGTCGTCGTTTCACCCGATGCAACGACCACCCCGGAGGGATAGTCGTAACATTCGGATCAACGATCTTTTCGGTGGCCAATCCGATTCGCAAATCATACTTAGCAGCCGGTATAATTAGATCGCGCTGGTCAATTTTTTCTTTGTATTCCATGCTGCCCGATCTGGTCGGAACTSGAGCCGAGGGTGGGTGTTCCACATCGACATACCCCGGAAAGGAAACCCGTCGATCCCCCTCATAGCCGGCAAATACGGTCTCGACATATTCGTGCTCRTCTAGCTTTTTCTTGATTTCTTTGCTGTTCTCGGACATTTCCCCAAGTGCAGAGGACAAGGGCGACGCTTCCGACAAGCCTGCCAGTGTCCATCCGACAAAGTGGCTTCGAGAAATTCCGCTGACCATGGATGGAGGCTCTACTCCGGACGGCGTAGACCCTCCGTCAAAAGCCCGAACGACGGTCCCGTTGACCCGTTTGGGGCCACTCGAAGTAACCCTACGGTTATGGACCTTGAGAATACCGATGCGTGCTTCGATTTCGCAAAATGGGCTCGCATATGGCTTGCTGCCGTTGCTGCCGTGGCGCTTTCGAGCAGCGTTGCGAAACTGCGTAAGCAAGATTTGGATCATTTGTTCGGGAGGGACTGGTTTTGTTAGGTACGGATTGCTTGGGCCTTTTCCGCCTATACCGATTCGGCTTGCCTCGGCACTCGCGGCCGTCTTTTTATCTAGTTTCGATTTCTTGGCCATTAGGCCACCAAGGTTCATGCCACCGGATCGTTTCGACATGATTCCGTGTTCTCCTGTTTAGGTGGAATTAGTTGTATTAGCTTAGTAGTAGCTCTTTCCCTTGTCAGAGACCTTCGAAAATCGTTCGTGAAGGGGAGCAGTGGCTTTTCTGATGCGTTTTTGCTTTTTGATGATGTGATTGATGTCGCTGGTTGGTTGYCGCTGGCTGTTGAACTTAAAGAATGCATTTGGTTCTGCCAGTAACGTGGACGGTTTCGAGCTTGGTGCTCATGTTTCGATGTTTCATGTTTCTCTGGTTATTTTTTACTTGTACGTACTGAACTACGTAAACCTTACTGGAATCCAACGAAATACGAGTACGAGTACGTACCGTACTTTAGTCTCCAGAGGACTCGGCGAAGAAAGAATAGTCCGATTACAGACGCCTCGAACTCCTAAAGCTTTTGGCTACTGTAACAAATGCACGGTAAGATCGCATCGACAAAGAGTCCCTTCGATTAATTAACGATATCGCGATGTTGTCGAGAAAARTTCTATCCAAGCCTTTCTTGGCCAAGCGTCTTTTGGATGTGGCCTCTCCGTCAACTGCAGGGGCCAAAAGTATAAGATTGGTGTCTACATCCCAAACCAAAAAAGGGTTTCCTCCTCCCATTCTGTTCGACTACGAAACGATTCGGAACAATCTGACGGTGGCCGATGCTATTCCTTCAGTCAAAGAGGCATTTTGTGCTCTTGCTGCCGGAAAGGTCGATGTCCCGATGCCGATGCACATCGGCATTGAAGAATCATTGGCTGCTGGCCCAGGTGATTGTCACATTAAGGGCGGCTATGTCTACGGTGAAAAAACGTTTACCGTGAAATTGGCGTGTGTCAGCTTCTACAAAAATGTTACGGAGCGCAACCTTCCTGCTGGATCTGGGGTTTTTGTGGTCGTTGATGCCCAAACTGGAGCCCCGTTGGCTTTCTTCCAGGAAAATCGCATCAGTAAGTATTGTGGAAAGTATGGTACTACGTACATTCATGATATCACTTGCACAATTTTGTCTTCGATTCTTCAACCAGTGAAGTCATGATGGGTCTCTTATWACAACACTTATTATACGTACGACTCTGACAAGAATGCACTTGCTTTAATAATTTTTCATCTKCCTAAGTGACCGACTTGCGAACTGGTGCAGCTGGGGCAGTTGCTATTGAATACACAACTCCCAACGACGATAGCAATGTAATCGGCTTTATTGGCACGGGCGCAATTGCTCGAAACATGGCCCGTGCTGCTGCAGCTGTTCGACCAAACTTTACTGGTGTGGCATATGGACTGGACTTCCCTGGAGCTGAAGCTTTTGCCAAAGAAATGTCGTCGGAGTTAGGTTTAAACTTTTCAGTAGCTTCCTCCTCGGAAGAACTTTGCCACCGGTCGAACGTCATTTTCACTCAAACCACGGGCTCGGAACATGTTCTTGAGCTCGAACATCTCCGGAAAGGAACAACCATAATTGCTTCTGGGAGTGATCAACCAACGAAGCAGGAACTTCCGAACGATGTTTTGGCATCCGCAGATAAGTACATCGCAGATCTGATTAATCAAACCAGCCGAGTAGGCGGTAAGTACTCCCTGCTGAATATTTTTTTGTATCTCCAAAAGCTAATTCGTAACTAAGAAGGATTTCTTTTTTCTTTAGAACTCCGTGGAGCAATTGAAGCGAATGTCATGACGACCGAAGAAGTCTATGCCGAACTCGGTGAAATTGTGAACGGGAGTAAACCAGGGCGAGAAGATCACGAAGAGCTCATAGTGGTAGATTTGACAGGCACAGGAGCCCAAGATGCAGCGATTGGGCAGGTATGTATCGATAGTATGACGTCATATTTCAAAGGTTTCATTGTCCCAAACTCAATGTTAACAATTCTAATCATTGCTTCGTCACTCTTTACACCCACACCCCGGCATTCATATTGATGACAAAAAGGTCGCATGGGATAAATTGAGTAGGMTTGAGTAGGCTGCAGAGTATGGTGTCGGGAGATCGACTGAGCACTGCTCTGAGCAAAATTGTTCCATGCGTTCTCTTTTTTCAGAAGTCGCTTTTCTGAAACAGTTATACTGCTTCCTCCGTTTTAATCCAATCAAGCAAGCGTATCAAGTCTATGTCATAATAGAGCTATTTTAAAACACATCTTTTTGGCATAGGTATGTAGTTTTACTTTGTACCGTCTGAAAAGCTTCCGSCAGTCATTCCCTAAGAAACGGACTTGTCGCTGTAGAAATCCAACTATTATTTCTTTATCAGTGTATTGGTCATTGGTGGTCAGTAGTAGAGAATCCAAATAATGCTCTAAGCACTTGAAATTTTCATGTGGTCCAGTCATTTTGGATTTGAGTGAGAGCAGCTTAGAGCCAGCAAAATTTTGGTCTGGAGAGGTCTATCGCCTGTCTAATTTCACTAAGAATAATTATTTTGCTCTCCAACCTTTTTTTCCTTCAGTAACAAACTATGAAGAAAAAGCACATTGCCTGCTCTACTTCTTATATGCCTTGTTGCTACTCTTGTTGCACCTTCGATGATGAACAAAAAAGTTAGTTTAGTTATCAAGTAGCATTGGCATCTTGCAAAAACTTTTTGGTGTTCCTGCTTCTCTTCTCTCACTTTTTCAACTCTGTTTTTTTCTCAAGCAAAGCAAGAAGAAACACCAACATGAAAAAAAACAGACTTGAGACAACTTCACATGTTGAGTTAATATGATAGAAAATGGGATCAAACTGACATTTTTAGAAATAATTTGGTTCTTAATTTTAACTCAACAGTAGTGGGCTTTGTGTAATCAACAAAGAATCTAGTAGTCATGTTAGGGGTGATTCAATTTCACAGAATCATTTTTTTGCACTCCAACTCAGTGAAGAAGTCATTAGTGAAACTTTCTGTTTCAGGTACCTATCAAGGTATTTTCCTACCCCCAAGAATCAATTTGTGTTCCACTTGTAGTAATTTTATGTCATTTTGATAAAATTTTGCACACAAAATACAGCAAGGCAATTATTTTGTCACTCACTTCTTTGTTGTTTACAAATGCTTAACTACTAATAAAATAATGATTTTGCTGCGAGATCAGTGGCCTGTATGTGTGGTGAGCAATCATATCTTATTATTGCATTGAACACTGCAGAGCAATGTATTTTATTTCAGTGAACTTATTCTTCTGCAACCTTTCTTATCCTTTTATATTCCTTTAGTAGGGTCATGAAGAACTTTAAACTCCAGATTCTCCGCACACACAACACTCACAGGCTACAGTCTGACAGTCAACAGAAATGACCTGCAATTTCCCCTGATACATTTTCTCACAGATTGCGTTTGACACCTTCCCTTCCAAACTGTTGTAGTGGAAGCTGGCAGCTTTGAGCTTATCTGGGACTGCAAGGGAATCAGGGATGGTCCCTGTGAGTTGATTGCCGTGAAGGAGTAGAGATACCAAATTTGGGGGGTTCCCAAGTGAAGATGGAATGGTTCCAGTGAGTTGGTTGTCATCAAGGTGCAAACTCCTCAAGTTGAGAGTTCCTAAATTAGAAGGAATGGTTCCAGAAAAATTGTTGTTTTCAGCAAAYATAACTTGTAAATCAGGCATGGCATCAGGGATATCTTGAGGAAGGGTTCCCTCGAACCTATTGAATCCAAGATCAAAATACACCATGTCCTCAAAATCGAAAAAATAATCAGGGACCTGCCCAGAAAATTGATTGAAAGAGAGTACAAGTGTGTCTATCTCGTTCAAACTAGAGAAGTCACCAGGAAATGTTCCTGTGATCAAGTTATCAGAAGCTGTGAATTCGTAAATGGTAGATAAAATTGACAGCTCCGAAGGGAGAGTTCCCTGTAGTCCGTTCCCGTGAATTCTGACCATTTCCATTTGTTCAACGCGATTGCAAGGGTCCAAACCAATCATATTATACCAATCACACTCATGCAGATCCGACAACCACATGTCATTTTCTAGCCATTCGCCTCCATCTTGTTCACAGAAAAATACTGTCATAGCGTAACGCTGACGGATTCGTTCACCTGTGAATTCCAAAACATCTTCTCCTGTTCGAAGCCAGTCACGGGATTTTGTTTGACAAGTTCCAGGGATATCAAATAACTCTGCAGTCCCAGGAGGAATGTATGGACCAATGCCATCTGAAACTATCTGGCAGATAGCATCAGTGGTACATGGAACAAGGCTGTTATTATCCGGGAAAAATGCATCTGTGGTTGAAGGTGGATTAGGATTTTCCAATGCAAATTGTGGTACGTTCGGAGATGCAGCAGGAAGTGAAGTAGTTGGACCTACGGCTGCCCCAGCACCTACAACAGCTCCAAGTGCCAACATAGTCCAAGCTGCCATCGGAACTCCAGTTATTGCAGGTTCTTTCTCTTCATCTTCATCTTCGTATTCACTCACGTCATCATCAGGAATAGCAGCCAATTCTAGGTCGTCGTCATTTTCAGTCGCTGTAGTTACTGTTGGTCTATCAAAAGGTCCTTCCGGGCGAGCACCACTCCAGTTATATTCCGGTTCTTCCTTTTCCGATCGCAACTTTGATGGCCTTTCAGCGGACCAATCGTACAAAGGTTTCTCTTCAGACACAGGAGTCAGCTGAAACTCCTCATCAGTCTCAAATGGTTTAGTAACAACAGGCCTGTTGAATGGAGCAGCCTTCTTCTCGGCAGACCAGTCGTAGGAAGGTGGTTGGGAGTGGGCAGCAACTGAAGSTTCTTCAGCAATGGAGGTGAGTTGAAAATCGTCGTCTGTGTCAAATGGAGTAGTGACTTGAGGCCTGTTCAAAGGCAAGACCCCCTTCTGTTTGGACCAATCGTAACTTGGTGATTCCTGCTCAGCTGGAGAACGTTGCCAGCCGTATTCAGGTTCATCTGGGCTCTCGGTACGTCTATCTCGAGGAATAGAATTGACATCAACTGGTCTGTCATAAATATCATCTTCATCAGGTACACCAGGAACATTTGAGTTTGGAGCTCTACCCCACATCATTTCAGGGTCATCCTTGCTCTTGGGTCTGCCATCACGTGGAATAGAGTTTA